TAAACATCTCATTTTAAATATAAAAAATCTAAAATATAATTAGGATAATCATTGAGTTCTAACAGAATACTTAATTATTATTTTTATAAAATGTTATATTATTAAACCAAAAATAAATTATTTCATTATTAAACTTAAATTAAATTATAATAAAAAAATAAATTAAAGAAATTATATAAAAAATAGAATTTTTGAATAGTTGATTTGATATTAACGTTGATATATAATTTTTCAAACTTTTAAGACATCTTCAAAATTATATTTTATCCAAAAATAAAATCATTATTGCTTTCTTAAAAACACATAAAATCGTATTATAACATCGACATAGATAAATAATAAAATAGAACATTAAAATCAAAATGTATCTCGCTGCATTGCGCGAGTACCCTTCTAGTTATCATAAATATATTCAAGTACCATAATATAGGAATTATCTATACCATATTATAAAACATTTGACTAAAACTTTTAAAAATAATTTTTTATGCATAAAACACTGTTTATTGATACATGTTACTTAAAATTCAAGATTACAAGTAAAATATGCATTAGTACATCTTATTAAAGCTTTATATTTGAATTCGTATAACTAACTGCGGTTAAACATAATCAAATACATGATAAACATTATTTTAAATATAAAAAATCTAAAATATAATTAATATAATAATTGAATTCTAACAGATTACTTAATTATTATCTTAAAAAATTATTTTATTAAACCAAAAATAAGTTAGTTTGTTTTTAATCAACTAAATTATAATAAGAAATTGAATTAAAGAATTACACAAAAAATGAGAACTTTTAAATAGTTAATTTGATACTAATATTGCTTATTTTTTTCAAAATTTATATTTCATTCAAAAACAAAACCAAAAACATTTTCGTTTTTCTCAAAACCACATAAAATCGCATTATAACATCAATAGAACCAAAATTTAAAACGAAACATTAAAAATTAAAATGTATCTCTTTGTATTGCACAAATACCCTTCTAGTTTTAATAGATATTTACTGAAGAGGAGCACTAATTTATATTAAATAATATAATTAATATTTTACATGAAAATTATAATACCATTATAGAAAATTAAAAGCTATACAAGATATTTACTGATAATTCAACCAAACAAGGAATAGACACACCACCATTTTGGGCCTTCTTATTAAAGGTTAGGCACCTAAAAAGCAACTGCTCTTAAATTATCACATGCATCTTGGGGATGCCTACTTTTAGCCCCTCTTTTATATCCTACTTTTGCTTTTCAACCCTAATCTACTCATTTTGTCTCTTCACCCCCTTCATTTTTAACATAGGTGTATCATGTTATCTTTTACTTCTATACAGTAAATTAACTTAACGGCGTAACATGTGTCTCTTTTGACATGTTAATGTGTGTGAAAGAGTTAAATGACGTACCTTTTATATATATATATATATATATATCATTTGTAGTAGCATACAGATGTATGATGTACACAAACAATAGACGCTATAAAGAGTTGACTAGTCATTTACGATAAATTTTCTTAGATCAAATGATATTTGATCTAGTGGTATCTAGGTACCAATTGAGCTCAACCTTCCAAAGATCAAGGTTCTAAACGTCATCAAACTTAAGGTGTGTGAGTTTATCCTATATAAATGTTATATACTTTTAAAAAAATATAGACTCTGTTGGAGTTAGAGAGAAATCCACCACTGTGAAAATATTATAGATGCAAGATATAAAATAGGAAAGAATATTTTCTTTTTTGCCAATATTATTATTTTGTTATATTATATCAACAAGATAACATGATAAAATGATTGCATTTAGTATTTTTCTTTTTTTGGACAAATTACATGAAAAAGTAATGTACTTTAACTTGATTTCTGTTTTGAGTAACGTATTTTCAAAACTTCTATTTTGGTACCTAAGATGTAAAGTTTTAAACATTTAAGTACTTAGGAAAGTAACTGGTTGAAGCATTAACTGGTTACCATGCTGATGTGACGAGTGATGTGGTATCCGACTCAGTATTATTTGCTATTCAACCCAATTTCATCACATTACTCGCCACATCTACATGGTAACTGGTTAATGCTTCAACTGGTTATCCTGGTATTTAAATATTTAGACCTTTACATTCTAGGTACCAAAATGAAAGTTTTAAAAGTACGTTATTCAAAATATGAATTAAATTAAAGTACATTACATTTTCATGCAATTTGTCCTATACTTTTGAGTCCAAGTAAACTTGTTGGCATGCATGTAGAAGAGGTCTTAATTCTTTGATATTACGGGTATTGTTTGAGTGTTCTTACATATGACAACTAGTGGTGTGCTTGTATAATGTTTATAGCTGATTTCGAGAAAGTGATTGTGAAACTGAATTAAAACTTTTGAAACTGTTAGAAATGATAATTTTACATTTACCCTAACTATTTGGTTTTCTTATAACAATTTATTAACCACCTTTATAAGTCTGATTGTTTTACCTCTAAAAGCTTAGAACACCAAAATCAGTTTTACCAAACACTACAAAACTGTTTATTATAACTCGACTTCATGTCATGCTAACAAGTTTTACAGCACAGCCAAACACTCGTATAGACTCGTTAAAACTTACAAATATAAACTCACAGATAATCTGTCTGTCACACTCTATGTGGCAATAAGATTTACCTAAAGGACTCAAACTTCAAACCTCTGATATTTGAGGGGCCAAATATGATATAAGGGAGTTTTAAGCGGTACTAAAGTTAAAATATTTGCCGGTTATATTGAGGAAAAATACTCCTTGGACACGTAAGCTGGCGGGCTCCAGCCCGAAATGTTCAACACATCAGAACATAAATACATCATTAGAAATTTAGAACTGAATTGGAATATCGTATATACTTTACTCCCATACGCAAAATTCCTTTTTATCCTGTAATCTCTTTCAATCATCAAAAGAAGTTTGGCATTAATCTGCCATTTTTTGAACCCTTGTGGCGTTTTGAACCATCTCTATCGTTGGCCACAGCTATGGAGCTTTTTCAGGAGCTAGTGTTTACGATCTCTTTATCTCTCATAGTTTCTTTGTTAGTCGTGAAGCTATTTTCAATGGCATCCGGTGGTGATGATGGGAATTCAACGGTATCGAAAAGGGTTGAAGAAAAGATAGAGAAAGAATGGGTTGTTTGTGATTCTGAAAAAGAGGAAAAAGCTGGGTACTTTGAAGATGCGGTGGAAGTTAGTAAAGATGTTGTTTGTGGAGGATATGTTGAAGCTGAATTAGGAAGTGGGTGTGTGATGGAAGACACAAAAAGTGTCGGTGAAGTTGGTGCGAGTTATGTGTTTGATGAAAGTCCTGAAAGAACCGACTTTAAAGATGCTTCTGTTGGTTTGGTGAAAAGTGGTGAGGTTAATGTCTCGGGATCATCAATACAAGAAGATTGTATGAAGTCCATTGTATTGCAACAGGAATCAATCGCCGTTGATGGTGGGGATGACGGTGGTGAAGTGAAGATCGAGGAGGGAGATGGGATTTTGTACGATGATTGGCAGGGGATTGAGACCACGGAGTTGGAGAAGGATTTTGGTGCTGCGGTGGCGTTTATGGGATCTAAAATCAGTGCTGATCGGGTAAGTTTGATTGACAATGAGGTAAAGTTGCAGTTTTATGGGCTTCATAAAGTCGCACTTGAAGGGCCTTGCTTTGAGTCGCAACCGATGGCTCTCAAGATCTCTGCTCGTGACAACTGGTATCATCTTTTCCTTGTCAAAGAACTACATTTTCATTTATCTGAGTACGAAAAGAACATAAATTGTGAGTTTTTATTAAAAAATGTGTGGATTCTGATTTGGATGTCAAGCTAGATCAAGAAAATCTTGATCATGGAAATATGAATATGATACTAAAGAACTTTTTGAGTTGAAGGTGAAACAATGTGACAAGTAGCATAGAAAGGAACTAAATTGATGGTTATTTTGCCTAAATTTGAGCAAAGGTTGATTACCAACAACCCCGACCGGCCTACACGGAACCGACCCCTTAGGAACTGCATGTGAGGAGGCATTTTCAAGCTGACTCAACGGCTGAGGCTAGCGGAGCAGTTCAAGCCCAATCTCTTGCTGGATTTAAACTTGAACCTATTGTGTTGTTGTGTGTTTGAGCAAAGTTGCTCCGTCCCTTTGCCAACTAAGCTAACCGCCCAAGGGCATTTTGCCTAAATTGGTAACATTTGGTCCTTTGTTCCATGATGTAGATACCAATGAATGTGGCCACTAATTTATTGCACTTGTTTCTTTGCATTTGACACCCTACTTGAATTTGTACTGTAGATTCGTGCGGCAACTAAATGAATAATTATGGCCTCTATTTTTACTCATCTTTTTAATTGTCTTGCCATTTCTAGATGTAATTGTAACTCAACCTGTAGTTTTGGAATGCCCTTAGCAGAAGAGCTCATCAAAGCTGTTGCTAATCTTAGGTTCTTGTTACTCTTTACAATTGGGTCGAAAAGGGGAGATCTCAAGATGGTTTCTACTTTTATCTTACGAGTTTCTGGCTTTAATATAGATAGGAAACAGGAAAACATGATAATGGAATACTTATTTGTTCGTTATACGAAAGACTACTAGAAGTTCTTGATTGTAGTAACCGATATGTGCTGTTGTAATTGCTTCATTGTTAGGGTGCATTTGGTATGTGGGAGAGGATATAGAAAAATTTGTTGTCCCAAGTTAGGCGGGACATTAGACGAGGAAAGTGGAGGACATGAGTTTGACAAAAATGCATTTTTTCTTTCCCACCAAAATCGGTCGAACAAAAATCAAGGAGAAGAGACACGATTGGTAAATTACTAAACTACTGCTAATAAAATTGAAACCTTAAAATCTTCGTGAATTCTTTCACCCGCCTACCACACTTTTGCCATCCTGTCCTTGCCAGTCCCATCCACATACCAAACGCACCCTAAGTAGTTAGTTCTGTTCTTTTCCATTATCTTTCTAGCAGAGCTGATCTTATAAGCACAATCTTGTAGAACTCACAAGAATCTCGTTCCTTGTTTTCTTGTAGCAGACTTTTTGTTTTTTTGTTTCCGTTTGTTATTTCCTTCTCTATGACTGTTAACATATCAAATTTATGGAACCTTTTATCAGGAATGCTTGGAAACGTCTAGAAAATTTAGGACGAGATGAAGCAATGGCGCAATATATTGCTCTTCTTTCTCGACATGTTCCTGATTGGATGGGAAATCATGCTTCAGTAAGAAAAAAATTATGCTATTTAGTTGTTTATTGATTCTTTCATTATTCATTTGGAATAAAAAATTTATGCACACCTACTCAGGAAGATGATATGCAAGATTTTATAGCTACCAGAATATCTGGAAAACTTCATTCGGATGAAGAAACACCAATTGGAGCTGAAAGTGAGAGGTAAGGTAAGGCTACGCTTGCCAAAGTAGCCGATAAGCTAGCTGTTGGCTGAAAACCTAGTTGTAATTAGTTGTCGGCTGAAAAACTAGCAGTAGTTAGCTGTTGGCTGAAAAATTAGTTGTTGACTGATAAACTAGCTGATAAATGATTGACGAAGCATATGATATTTTCATCATCTTATCAAGTTCCCTCTGTTTACTATCTTGAGCAGAACATTGGAGCAAATGAATCCATGCATTGATCTCATGGCTGTTGAAGGTTCAACCATCATAATAGGGGTATGCGTTTGAATTCACGACTTTTTTGTTTTGAATGATTTGTTATAACCCCCCCTCCCCCCGCGCACAAAGTAAATGCAGCGAATTCCATTTATGGGATATCTCAAAATAAACGCGCCTCTTTGCCATTTGCAGTTGGTACACTTAGTCATTTGTGAGAGGAAGTTCACAAGTTCAAATGCGCAAAGTAAAGTTGTATGAATCTTCTTTCCCTAGCCCCCACAAATCCAAGAAGCGAAGAGCCAACCTTGAGAGCCAGCTCAACTGGCTAATAAAGACTAGGCTTTGAGGTTTCTCCTTCATAGGTCGCTAGTCAGGTCTCTTCAATTCCACTGGGGATTTTCCTGACTGTTATCTTCAGGGCCCATGAGATTAGTCGGTGTGTACAAGCTGGCTAGGACACATACAGTTACCAAAAGATTAAAAATAAATCCAAGGAGCCTTGATGCACTATGTTCAGTGTTTAGCTTCCCGTGTTCTACAGTAACTTCATATCCTTTGAGAGTCTGACATCAACTAAACTTGGACCATTTCTCCTCAATATATGTTGATCCTATTTTCTTTCCTTAAAAAGGCTCTTTTTGAGGATAATTAATGGCCTAATGGGGGGTTTCAAATATTCTCTGTCACTCTAGGGAATCGACACTCTGTACACGTCTAGCTCCCCATCAGTACTCTGGGACAATCTGCACACGTCTAACCTTTGTTGGAGGGGGCATTTTGGTGTCCCACATCAGCTAGACTTTGACGATTTCTCCTCCATATATGTTCAAACCTCCCTTCTCTACTTATTACTCTTTGAAGAATAATCTAACGGGGTTTCACATATTCTCTCACCTAGATTGTAGTATTAGTGTTTCTAACATTTCGTATTTTTGGACAAATATTCAGGAGAAACAATGACGCGAAAGTTCTTCCTGGGTTGATCTTGACTCCTTGGCAGTATCTCTCACATTAGTCGATCGTCTAACTGAGAATTGCAGCATTGGCAGTCTTGTAAGATGAGGTCGCCGTTTTCGTCGACAATGAAGCATATAAGTAATAATGATGATGATATCATTTGTAAATAAAGAAGTTGTTATGTTTGGTTATGGCTAGCATTTTGGAGACAAGTGCTGGAAATCTGTTTCTTTTGTATCTAATCTATCATTATTATTGTAAGCATTATTGGTGTTACTGCTGCTGTTGGATAGAAAAGTTCCTTTGGCATTTCTATATTTCAATTTTCATGGTTAATATATATAGAGAGAGAACAAATGCAAACCATGTTATTCAACCGATCATAATTTTTCATTTTTAATGTAGAGGATGTTAATCATGGATATTATCATCTTCATTATTTTAATTTTAGAGAAATGCATGAAACAGTTTCATTAAAATTTTATTAAGTATTATATGAAAAAATTTCATAACCATATATGAAACAACTTCATAAAAAAAAGTATTATATGAAACAATTTCACAAGATTAAACAATGTCATGAAAAAATTTCATAAGATTAAACAATAAAATCGACGGATGAGGGTGGTTTGCACGGTTTGTACAAATTGGGTGGTTTGCATTTGATCGCTCCTCTATCTATATATATATATATATATATATATCATCTATTTAAAGTCTTTATTTCTTTTAACAAATTGATTTCTTGTTTTATATCTATATAATTATCTTTTATTTTTGTTTGTTTTTGAAACGACAAATTGAATCAGAGACTTTTATGAAATATTTTAAATTGATGAGGATAAATTATTAATATAATTAATGAAAAAAAAATTTGAAAAGATTTTTGCATTGAAGATGATTTATAAAAATAGGTTTTTGTTAAAAAAAATGTTAATGGAAAACTGACGTGACAAAAGTAAAAAGTATTTTAATGACTTATGCATTGGAGATGCTTAGGTTACCAATTTACTTTCATTTGATATAAGTATAAACATCACCTCCATCATCATTGGGTACCACTACCACCTCTATCTTCTTCACAACTACCACTTCTGCATGTCCACCACCATCTGCCATCTCCATGTCCTCCACAACCATCACTATCTGCCATCTCCATGTCCTCCACGACCACCATAAGCACCAGTAATCACTGTACACTGTTGTCACCACCATCGCCCCACTGTACTGGTCCTACAAGCCAGAACCATTACAGGGAGGTAAATAACGTGTCTTAGGATAGGTATGGTGTTTAGGGTCGTACCCCGTATCTCCCATCCATTCCACAAGATGTCCACCTCATTACTCGCTATGTTAAAGTAAGGGGATGTGGTATATGTTGTTCGCATCCCGACTAGGGTCGTCCCAATCTTTTTGGAGGCCTTGTCACACTCATACTAAAACTGTAAAATTTAAAAATGTTACGAATTAAAACACCAAAAATGTTTAAAATGAAAAAGTAAGAAGAATATCAAAGGGTCATTTTGTTTTTGATCAACAAATTTTGAAATTAGATAGCCGCTTTTGATTTTGAACGACATTAGATAGGTATTCGTTGAGCACATGTTGGGTTATATAAATATGAGCCCTAAGTGCAGGTAAAAATAGGCCCCAAAGTTTTGAAGGTCGTACTAAAAACCAAGATTTAATATGTTAACAGACGGTATTGATCCCAACCCAGATGGTAAGTCATCTTTAGATGATATGATATCTATATGAGATTTTGATTAACGAGTTTGACTAAGAGGAAACCATAAAAAAAATAGAAAACTAGAGAAACATGATAAAAAGATGTATCAATATGAACCACAAATTAAATATAAAATAATTATCATTTTAGGTGTAATTTGGTTTTTTTTTTTTAATTTTGATTATATTTATTTTTTTGAATAAAAAATAATTTTTTAGTTTTTCTAAGTTTCTAAAAAACCCGATGAATTATTCATTTTTGAATGAACAAGTCTCTGAACTATTTTTTTTAGTGAAAAAATCATTAAACTTTCTTACTTTGAATGATTAAGTCCTTAAACTATTTTTTGAATGAAAAAATCATTAAACTTTTTTATTTTGAAAGATTAATTTCTTGAATTTTAAAACAAATAAACCATCAAACTATTAATAATTGGTTAACTATATCCTTTTAACCCAAAAAAGCTACGTGAAACTGACTATAAATGTTTTAGAATAAACCAATAGGCATTAAATGAAAGAAAAAAGAACTAAGTACTATATTTTACTTTGATGTGGAGCCCACCCCAAGATGAGTGCTCTCCTATTCCGACTTCCCCAGAGCCTCCGGTAGCACAGCCGAGACAGCGACGGGTTCTCTGCCCCTGCGTGGTCATGACTTCTGCTCATTGCATACCTTGATCTACTACTGCACGAATAGCATTTCCCGCTGCGGTTGAAGGAGGCCACCAAACCAAAGGGGAGTTCTTTGCTTGCTTTTCCATAAATTAGTTTTATCATTCCTAAAAGCTACGTCATTCAAACCCTACGCAAACACCGTTATCACTCCTCATCGTTGTCTGTTCTCCATATCGCTTATCATGTTGTTGGCATTTACCATCGATCTCCCTCTTTTTGATATGTTTTTTTTTATCTTTTTTTTTCTTTATTTTATTAGATAAAAAACAAATAAAAAAGAGGGAGATTGATGGCAGTGGCCAACAACATGATAGGCGATATAGAGAATAGACAACGACGTGTGAAGATCGAGGAGTAGGATATGGGTGGTGGTGGAAGAAGAACCTCAAAGTAAAATAGTAAGAAGAACCTGTATTGCTGGTGGAACAATGAATATATTGATGGTGGAACATAAGAACCTCGAGGTAAAAATAACCTAAAAAGAATTTACGGTGACCTTTTTTTAATGTTTAGTTTTTTTAAAATGGTTTGTTAAATTTTTTAAATAAGTTTGCAATGATAAAATTTATAAAGATCTGATTTATGTAACTCATTCTAAGTTTTGCGAATAAATTTATTCAAATGTTTAGTTGATTTATGTTATTTATAATTATCATATAATAAAAAATATTAAACAAGGGTAATCTAGTTATTTTAACAGTTTAGTCCTGTCCTGTTCAGATTATCAAACGTAAAACAGACAATTAGTCCAATCATGTTCAAATATATCAAATAATTAGTCGTGTCCAGTCCTATCCCGTCCCGTCCTACCCAATCATGTCCCGTCCCATCCAATCTGCTCACCAAAAGCTATCTTAAGAATAAAGTTGTAACCTTTCATTAACCAGTCATCGTGAGTTTGTTTGACAGTTGCTGAATGGTTTGGTTTTGATCAACAAATTTTGAAATTAGATAGCCGCTTTTGATTTTGAACGACATTAGATAGGTATTCGTTGAGCACATGTTGGGTTGTATAAATATGAGCCCTAAGTGCAAGTAAAAATAGGCCCCAAAGTTTTGAAGGTCGTACTAAAAACCAAGATTTAATATGCTAATAGACGGTACTCATCCCAACCCAGATGGTAAGTCATCATTAGATGATATGATATTTTATGAGATTTTGATTAACGAGTTTGACTAAGAGGAAACCATAAAAAAAAAAATAGAAAACTAGTGAAACATGATAAAAAGATGTATCAATATGAACGACGAATTAAATATAATAAAATTATCATTTTAGGTGTAATTTGGTTTTTTTTTATTTTTTAATTTTGATTATATTTATTTTTTTGAATAAAAAATAGTTTTTTAGTTTTTCTAAGTTTCTAAAAAACCCGATGAATTATTCATTTTTTGAATGAATAAGTGTCTGAACTATTTTTTTAATAAAAAAACCATTAAACTTTCTTACTTTGAATGATTAAGTCCTTAAACTATTTTTTGAATGAAAAAACCATTAAACTTTCTTATTTTGAAAGATTAAGTTCTTGAACTTTAAAACAAATAAACCATCAAACTATTAATAATTGGTTAACTACATTCTTTTAACCCAAAAAAGCTACGTGAAACTGACTAGAAATGTTTTAGAATAAACCTAAATTAGTTTTACCATTCCTAAAAGCTACGTCATTCAAACCCTACGCAAACACCGTTATCACTCCCCATCGTTGTCTGTTCTCCATATCGCATATCATGTTGTTGGCATTTACCATCGATCTCCCTCTTTTTGATATGTTTTTTATCTTTGTTTTTCTTTATTTTGTTAGACAAAAAACAGATCAAAAAGAGGGAGATTGATGGCAGTGGCCAACAACATGATAGGCGATATAGAGAATAGACAACGGCGTGTGAAGATCGAGGAGTAGGATATAGGGTGGTGGTGGAAGAAGAACCTCAAAGTAAAATAGTAAGAAGAACCTGTATTGCTGGTGGAACATAAGAACCTCGAGGTAAAAATAACCTAAAAAAGAATCTCGAACTAAATTTACGGTGACCTTTTTTTAATGTTTAGTTCTTTTAAAATGGTTTGTTAAATTTTTTAAATAAGTTTACAATGATAAAATTTATAAAGATCTGATTTATGTAACTCATTCTAAGTTTTACGAGTAAATTTATTCAAATCTTTAGTTGATTTATGTTATTTATAATTATCATATTATAAAAAATAGTAAACAAGGGTAATCTGGTTATTTTAACAGTTTAGTCCCGTCCTGTTTAGATTATCAAACGTAAAACAGACAATTAGTCCAATCATGTTCTAGTTGTATCAAATATAGAACAAACAATTAGTCGTGTCCAATCCTACCCCGTCCTGTCCTACCCAATCATGTCTCGTCCCATCCAATCTGCTCACCAAAAGCTATCTTAAGAATAAAGTTGTAACCTTTCATTAACCAGTCATCGTGAGCTTGTTTGACAGTTGCTGAATGGTTTGGTGCAGAATGATTAAGTGGTTAGAATGATTAAGAAGCTCTCATGATATAATGTAAAATGAAATGTAATTGTTTGGTAATTATTTACAACGAAATTAGAACATTAAATGGTTAAGAGAGGCTCATGATACAAAATTATTCAAAGTGTTTTAAAACCATTAAGAGACATAATTTTTTTTTTTGCCAAACAAGATTCACCTCTTAGATACAAAATTATTCAAAGTGTTTTAAAACCATTAAGAGACATAATTTTTTTTTTGCCAAACAAGATTCACCTCTTAACAATTTAGAGACTGTTTTTTAATAACACTAGTAAGAGGTAAACAAACAATTCCTTAATATTTTCAGATATTGTTGTACGGTAACGGGTATACTGGAAAACGGGTTTTCGAATTGAATACCAGGACGGGTTTATCCGACCCGTGTTCGGCTCATTTTGAGGAGGGATAGAAAATGGTGTTTGAAAAAAGTGGCTAGGTCGGACCGTATATAATTTCGTAGGCCCAAATTGAGGCGCACAATCCATCGGATGTAAGAGATCTGATGAAATTCGATCGCCGGCGACGTTATAACGATTGATTTGGATCCTAAACCGACGATTTACTTCATTGTTCAATGGGCGTTGTAATTGAGAGCGAAGTTTGGGAAAATAATCAGCCTCTGTCCATTTTCATATTCTTATCATGCTTACTCTCAGTCGTTTGTTTACCTCACAATTCAAGCAGGATTTCCACAGTCTTCGATCAATCACTGCCGTCTTCTTTGCTTCGTTTTCAGAGAAATTTTCTTCTCCTGTTTTGTATCTCCTCAGGCAAGCAGTTCCCCTCCATTGTCATTTTCAGTTCTTCAGTTTGCGTGAATAGCATAAGTGAACATTGTAAAAGTAAATGCACTTAAAGATGAAATCTAACTCGAGTGAGATCATTAACAAGGGAAGGATGGTCTACTTATGGTATTTGTTGATGTTGATTGTAGATTTAACATTCAACTTCACTCAAGTTTCATTTTTTTTTTAATTTTCGAGCTGTGATGATGGCGAAAACTCATTAATTATTGTTTGTTCTTTAGAAATAACTCTTGATTCAAGATGTGTTTTAATCTCATTATTCGATTTTGTGAAATTTTCTTTCGCTGAACGAACATTTACTCAAAATTTGAATGATCTTACATCTATTAAAACTTGGCTTGGTAGAGCAGATCATGAAACCAATTTCTTGGAACGTCTGAGATTGTTTAAACTTGAAGTTCAACACTTTTGGTGGGATATTTAACTAATTGAAGCTGATTGTGCTATACCTTATACTTGCACATTTTAGATCCCCAGATGGTTTTAAGTCTATTTTCTGAGCATGTTTGATTTGAAGCTGTTCCAAGCGAGTTATGCTTGTGTATATCGAAGTCACTGTTATTGAATTGGGTAATGACTCTTTATGTTTGCTTCTTTAGTAATGGAAGGTATGTGGTCAGTGTTTGGGGAGTACGAGATGGCATACTTTGGTGCGAGTAGGGAGCAAATGGTGTCGTATCTCATCATTGGTTGTGTATCTGCATTCTTTGTTGGGACTTGCTTAGGCATGCTGTCTGACTTAATGTACGTCCTATTCATTGATATTTCCCGTTAGGTTTTTCTATAGTTAATGTTGTTACATGAGCATATTATCAAAGATGTTGGATGCAAGGCAAAAAATTGCCGGTTGGAAAGTTCTGATTACCTTAGAAATGGTTACATATCTAAACCTGAATGACTACAATGGACAAAGTACGTCAGCCATAGTATGATATTGTTAGGAATAATCTTTGAGACAGGACTGCAACATAAATCAACAAGCCAGTCAACTATTTTTAGAATTTAGACTTGTATTCGTGTTTTTGGACTATCAGATATTAGTCACCATTCAGATGTTTATCATTGGCCCTGCTTACTTCTTCAAGATGTTGGTAATACACATTGAATCTAGTTATGGACCTTATGGTATCGAAATTGCTTGGCTAGTATGTGGCAAGTGATGCCCATTTCTTGTTATTATTATTTATTTACTTCATTGTTTTTCTTTCATAGTACTGATAGAGTAAGAGATCCTCCTATGTTGCTTCATATCAATAATCAAGTTGTTTAGAGCAAATCAACTATGCATCTTAACTAGTATCCATAGTCCATACAGTTCGGTAGTTGTTTGCATGGGATATTACATGTTTGACATTCGTTCTTAATTTCTTATGCCTGTTTTTCTCAGAGGTCGAAAGAAAGTTTGCTTGGTGTTTTGCATCCTGCACCTTCTTGTTGCTGTTTGGAAGAGGCTTTTCTCACATCCAAGCATTCTGTTAGCAAGTATTTGTCTCTCTCTGGCCAGTTCAATATTTTTATTTGGTTTTGAGACATGGATGGTGGTTGAGCATGACAAGGTTTGTGGTTTTTCACATCTCAATAATTGTTGTTTTAGTTAGAAAATTTCTACCTGGTACAATTCCAATAATATGTTTCACCCTACCCTTTCCTCCTCCTGACCGACATTGATAACTACAGATATCTTGTTATTCTTTGCAGCTAGGCCACAGGCTAGATTCATTGAATGAAATGTTTTGGCTGATGACCTTTCTTGAGTCTGCATCTTTAATTGGTAGCCAAGTACTTGCAAATTGGTTGGTCAATAACGACATTGAGAAAAATGTGGTTTCTCCTTCCACTTCTACTGCATTACTGGCACTCATCAGTATCGTTTTCATCACACGAGGATGGAGAGAGTCTCCACCATCAACATTTAAGGAGTATCGGGTGTCATTGAGTACACATATCTTCTTCGGTAAAGACATTTCTCTGTGTGTGTGTGCTTGAAGTATAAGGAACCATATGCAGCCTTTGGAATTGTGAATGAGGACACTTTCAAATGCAATAGAATGTGATTCCACAGTTCCACTTTTAGGGTCGGATTGCGTTCCTAGATGCATATAAACTGCCAAAAGCTTGCTGCTTGAGAGTTGAGTTTTCATATATGATGAGGCTGTGAAAAAGTTACCTCACATGTCTTGTATGATATATTGTAGAGGGTATATGTTCATGAGATAAGTTTCTCATAAATGTAATACATTATTTGCAGATAAAAGAATATGGTTGTTGAGCTGGGCACAATGTTGCGTTCAGTTCTCTGTCGCTGCATTTTGGATATTATGGGCCCCAACCATAGTGGTATGATCTACATCTTACTCTCATTTCACCAACATCAATGGAATGTGTTCTTTAGATTACTATTTCAGAAGTCGTGACGAGGAGTAGTGTATAATCTAGTAGACCCTTAATCTGTATATTTGCCTAAAAGTGTTGTTCCGTAGAAAGACCTACTTACATGTCTTATATTATAGATTATGAATGTACTTGATTTTAGTTCAAGTTTGTTCTGGACTTCACATGGGTTTCAAGTGCCAATTTGTTTCAATGAAAAGTTCATTTATACTTCATTTGGTGATTTTGAAGAATATATTGTCTAATCTATCTAATAAATGTTGATTTCAGGCTGATGGTCGAGAAGTTCATCTTGGCGTCATATATCCTTGTTTGCTGGGAGCTCGAATGTTAGGAAGTACGATGTTTCCATGGTTCATAAATGGACCATTGCCCCTTCGGACTGAGGATTGCCTTGTATATGCATTCATTATAGCAGGCCTTGTTCTGTCCATGGTAGCTTATGATTATCAGGTACTTAATCTCCAACAGGTTCTCCAAATGGAGAAAGTGATGAGTTTGGAGTTTTTTTTGCTCCAGTAGGTCCTCCAAAACTTTCTTCAAAATGAAGAAAGTAGGAAAGAGAGAGAGAGAGAGAGAGAGATTTTCAAATTTGGAGGACTCCCCAAAATTAAATTTTGAAGAGAGAGAAATGATTTTTCTACTGTTCCCACCAATGAAGTTGAAAGTATTATCATTTGATATAAAATTTATTTGAAAATTTGTTAGGACGATAAATCTTTTAAATATTCTAATAATATAATTAGTGTTGAAATCTTAAAATGGAGAGAAACCGTTGGAGTTGAATGGAGTTCTCTTTGGAGATTTTCACTCTTGCTTCTCCAATTTTAGAAAAATTATAGAGAATCTGTTGGTGATGCTTGTATTAATTCTTTTGTTGAAGATTACATAATGATAGCTCTTGAGATGTGGTTTGTCGGCTATTGAGTTAAATAACTTGTGCAGGAAATCGGAATTCTTGTAGGACTCTTTTGCTTGTTTCATGCATGTATTGGCTTGGTTTTACCTTCTTTGGCCAGATTGAGAACTTTGTAAGCTATCTTAATCATTTTCTTTCTTCGATAATATTTTAACAACCCGTCCCACATGGGTTTTGTAACTTTCTTATAAGCTCAGTTCTGGGCTACCAATGACTTCCATCATGGTATTTAGCTGATTTGAAGGTTATTGGGCCAACCAGTTTTTTTGGGCTATGGGAATTCCTCATATGCACCCTAAATTCCGTATTTATCATTTTTCAATTAAGTGAGGAGTAATTTCCGAGTTTTGCTGATTTCATATACAGGTATGTGCCAAACGAGCTGCGTGGAGGAATGATTAGCCTTTCTCTAGCTCCTGCAAATGCAGCAATTCTCTTGTGTCTGATTCAGGTATGTATCTAGATCAATACAAGTTGGCAGATGATTTGGAAAATTAAAATATGCCACTTAATATAGTTTTCAATTTGGTATTAAACCCTCCATTCCATGAAAATTGCACCACTTGACATATAGTTTAAGAAAACTGTGACTGACTGTTAATATCTGTAATACCTTTAAATAAAGATAAAATAGAGGAACTTGTGGACTCAAACCCGAGAGAACCCATCTCAACGTATTGTTTCACATTATTTCATCTAAGGTTATGATTTAAGGTATTGTTTCATACATATATATATATATATATATATATATATATATATATATATATATAGGAGCGATCAAATGAAAACCACTCCAATTTGTAAAAACCGTAAAA